CACACACACTCACACACACACACTCACACACACACTCATCAGTGGGTATCTGTTGTTTTAAGTGCTTAAAAAGGAAAGTATTAGTGTGATTAGTGTGGTAATCACCATCTGTCTCAGGTAGTGTGTGTGTGTGTGGGCCTATAAAGCGTCCATGTGCTTCCACATATGTTCCAGGTTCATTTTAGCTCCAGACGCTGTCATATCATAATTATGCATTAACCTTCCCATGACCTCAGCACTACCCTGTATAAACCACATCACTGACCGCACACTCATTCAGCTTCACTGGTTCCTCAAGAACAGCAAAATCAGCATATCAGAATGATTTCTGAAGTTCATGTGACACTGAAGACTGGAGTAATGATGCTGAAAATACAGCTTTGATCACAGAAATAAATTACATTTCAACAGATATAAAACAGTTATTTTAACCTGTAAAAATATTTCACAATATTACTGTTTATATTGTATTTTTGATCAAATAAATACAGCCTTGTTGAGCTGCAGAAGAAATCTTACCAACCACAAACTTTTGAACGGTAGTGTAATATATATTTTTAGAATATTTTTTATAATTGTACAATTTTGTAATCGTTCATTGTTTTCTCAGTAACTGTGACGGATTACAGTTACATTTATTTTGTAATCAAATTACGTAACGCCGTTACATGTAACCAGTTACAACACTGGAAATAACACACAGTTATTAGTGAATGAGAGCCAGCGTCTGAAGGCTCTGGCGTTTGTGCTGTGTCTCACCAGATAGTCGTCCGGTCGAATCCCGAAGAGCTCTCTGAAGTAGCGGAACGCCACCGGAGCGTACGTTTTAAACCTGAAGTCTGGATAGTGATGCGCCGGCGTCAGATTACTGCCTTCACTGAGAGACAGAGAGAGAGAGAGAGAGACACAGACACACATCAAATCTGGATTATCTGACTGACTGATGATCATCATTGCTTTCTTACAGTGTACACTACCGGTCAAAAGTGTGGGATCAGAACGATTTTTTATGTATTTTAAAGGAGTTTCTTCTGTTCATCAAGGCTGCATTTATTTGATCAAAAATACACGAAAAAATTTAATATTGTGAAATATTATCCCCCAAACTTATGAACGTTAGTGTATGTTGTTACAAAAGATTTCTAACTTAAATAAATGCTGTTCTTTTTAATGTTTTATTCATCAAAGAATCCTGAAAAAATTATCACAGGTTCCAAAAAAATATGAAGCAGCATCGATAATAAATCAGCATATTAGAATGATTTCTGAAGATCATGTGACACTGAAGACTGGAGTAATGATGCTGAAAATACAGCTTTGATCACAGAAATAAATTATACTTTAAAGTATATTAAAATAGAACACTGTTATTTTAAATTGCAATAATATTTCACAATATTACCGTTTTTTCTGAATTTCTAATCAAATAAATGCAGCCATGAATGCAGCAGAAGGTAGACTTACAAATCTTACTGATCCCAAACTTTTGAACGGCAGTGTATATGTAAAATATATTTGAAGTGTATTGTATTGTATTGTGGGATACAGTTTTCCACTAAACTTTCCACTAATGCTGGCTAATAAATAAGCCACCCAAGTTATATAAAAATATGTTTATATAGAACACAGTCTGCGTTTGTTGGTGTAAGTGCTTGATTTGAATGAAGACCAAAGCACTAGTAGTTACACTAGCAATGCTTGTCTTAGCAAACACCACTAACTGAAGCAGAAGAGATGGATTTAACACTCTCTGGTGCAGCAGAAATCTCACATACTGTACAGACCTGGGGAAGAAGATGCTCTCCACCACGTAGAAGTCTTGCATGAGGACGTCCCGCTCGGGTTTGGAGCTCAGGTTACCCACGGTGTAGCCGATCCCCAGCTGAATGGCTCCTTTCAGGGCAGACGAGGTCGTCTGTCGACACACAAGACGAACACTTCTGACTCTCTGACAGCAGTTAAACTCGCCCTGCATCACTGACATACAATGACTGCATAACAGCGTGAAGACAGATACAAAGGACCAAACATAAAATGTTTATAAAAATTTAATATATTTGGCAAACCTTCATTTTAAGGACCAATTCTCACTATTAACTAGTTGCTTGTTAGCATGCATATTATTAGCATATTGGCTGTTTATTAGTACTTATAAAGCCTTATTCTGCTTTATTCTATTTTTAAATATATTTTAATATTTATTTAAAAAATATATATAATATTTAAA